AGCTTTTCAGCCTTTGCAGTATGCCCAGGTGCCCTACAGCAAGGGAAGGAAGGATGCTGAGTTCCAACCATCATACCCAACCTACCACTGAAAGCCGGGTGGAATTGCAATGCTTCTAATAATTGTGTGAGGCTTAATGGCACACATGTCTGTGAATGGAATGCACCTTCCCTCTGACTTCACCCTCCTCCTTTCCCTTTATTTCTCCCTTGTTCTCACTTCTGATCGTTTTACCTTTACATCAGATCAGAATATCTTCTGATCATTTTATCTTTCTTAGAGGAGTGGTCTAGAGGAAGTCGACCCTTCCCCAGGACATTGCTGTGAGGGTGTTAGCTGCAGTAACTAGGATGTCCCTGTTGTGTTTATTTGCTGGTGTTTGTCCTTTATTCAGCAGAAATGTTCTATTTCTGCAGCAGTGGGTTGCGTGTTATGCAATCACCTCCCATGAGAGCAAATTGGAAAGGCTTCATAAAGTTCTGGGGCAGATGTCATAAATGCAAGTGCGTCGGTGGTGATGGCAACGATAACGCCATCCGTTAATCCGGAGGTTACGTAATCCTGAGACTGATGGCCTCAGACTCCTTTTTATTCACTTATTGCCTGAGGATATGAGCTGTGCTCTCCCGATTTGTGGATGAGTAAAGTGAGACTGTCCTGAGAGGAAGGAGTCGGCCGGGGGGTGGGAGAGGGGAAGAGGGGTGTTCCAGGCAGAGGGAACAACATGTACGAAGGCCTAGAGGCAAGAGAGAGAAAAAAGGTGGGTCAGCAAACAGCCAGGTGCTCAGCAAACAGCAAGTTGGCCTCCAGGTGCTGGGCCTCAGTCTGTGCAAACGTGAGAAAACAACAAGAGTTGAGTACAGCAGGAGCCTGGGGCTTGAGGGATTTGGGGAGGGGACACTGGCTCTAAGTAGCCAGGGTTTGGGGAGCCCTGGAGGGGTAGCTGGGGGCAGTGGCTGGCACCAGGTGGAAGACAGACTAAGATGCAGACTCTCAGCCTCTTTGAGTAAGAAAATCTCGCAGCCTGAGTGTTTTCTCCCTGCAGATAAGAGCAGAGGATTGGAGCTTAACAAAGAAAACTGCCAAGTTTAAGAAAAAGGGACACAACTGTTATGCAATTGTCACCAGGTCACAAAGTGTCAGTCAGACAACTATTCAGAGTGACTCTCTTTCTAGAGGGTCCCGGTGATTTTTATGGGTAGGGACAGCCATCCTGAAGTGGAGTGTCTTCTCACAAGACCCCGAGGTTAGGAGATGACCTGTTCAAGGAGGAATCACTCACGCAGGGGCCGGTCTGCAGTCCTGCAGCCGTGGGGACGAGGGAGAGAACGTTTTCCTGAAATTTCTCTCCTAGGCAGTTGGGGAATCTGTAGTTTTCAGGGCTGCTGTTGGCAAGGGGGAAAGGCGATTCGGACACCCCAGAGTGACGATGCGGGCAGGAGCGGGACTGAACAGGATTGCGGGGCCAAGAGGGAGTGTTACCCTCACATCCGCAGTCTCCGTCTCGCCCCGGGCAGCTCTGTCTAGGAGGACGGTGGGCACGACGCTCAGTCCGGGGGCTTCAGAGCCCCAGTTCCGCGCACGCCTTGCCTGCGTGAAGTCCTGACACGCGGGACCCACTTGAACCCTCCTGACCTCCTGAAGGAGGATGTCACCCATTTTACAACTGAGAAAAGCCGAGGTTCACCTGGGTGACTCCAGAAAGGGAGGGCAGGGATCTGAGCCCAGATGTGCCGGCCCCAAACTTGGGAGACAGGAGCCTGGGTTTCCATGTTGCCGTTGGGGACTGCCCAGCCATTCTGGAGAGGAAGGAGGAGGCCAGGCCTCCTCCAGCAGGAGAAGGACCACTCCCCATCCCATTAGCCTCCCAAATAGAGCAGACAGAGGGCCACCACGTGAGCAGAGCTGCCACCACCTGCTTAACTCTTCCCTGACTCCCCACACCTGAGAGGTGAAGTCAAAGCTCTGCCCCGTCCTCAGCACCTGGCTGTGAGCCTCACTTTTGCACAGACTGAGGCCCAGCACCTGGAGGCCGACTTGCTGTTTGCTGAGCACCTGCTGTTTGCTGAGCACCTCCCACCCCCCTACCTCCTACTCCTAGGCCTGTGCTCGGGAACTCCCTCCCCCTGGAAGGGCCTCTGCCCTCCTCTGCCTGCAGACATCCCCACGACCCCGATGATGCACTGACGCCAGGCAACAGGCGGTGTCCAGGGAGGAACAAGGAACCTCCAGATGGCTCACGGAGGGACCCTAACCCAGGGAGTTGGTCACAAAGGCATCGGAAGGGCAACAGGCACAGAACAGGATGGCGGTTTACCCCCAGAACAGAGGCTGCAGACATCCCCGCCTCCCCCGGGCTGGAGCGGAGGGGAGGGGTATGTGGGGGCCAGGATCCCACATGCGCGCGCGTGTGTGTGTATGTGTGTGTGTGCACGCTCCAGCCCCATGGGGCCAGGACCCAACAGGCACCGGCTCCCCGCCTACCACCAGGCTCCAGTGAGGACTGGGGGGTTCAGGGGGCAAGTGAAAGTACGTGTCTGCTCGTGTGTGTGCGTGTGTGTCTGTGGGTGCGTGCACACGTAGTTGTGTCTCTGTGTTTGTGTGCATGTGTGTAAGCACGTGCACGTCTGTGTCTGGGGGCCGGGTGGCGCATGCGCTTGTGTGTCTCCCTGTGTATATATTCTTGAGTGTGTGAGCTTGCATGTATACGTGTATCTGTGCCCATGTGGGCTTCTGTGTGTCTGTCTCCGTGTGTGCATGTCTGTGAGTACATGTATGCATTGTAGGGGTGCTCGCACACGTGTTTCTGTGTGAGCTGTCCCAGGGCCCTGGACACCATCCTCCCTCCTGCTCCCCCAGCGTCTGGCAAGTGTCTGTGCTCAGGGGCAATCCTTTGCCTTCGGGTCTGTCGTTTCTCCTCCTGGACCATGAGCTTTGCAGACACAGGGCCGGGTGTGGCTCAGCCCCGGAGCTCTGGGCCGGGGAGCCTGTGCTGTACTTGGCTTCTCTTGGCCTCTAGGGCGTGGAGACGCATCTGGGGAAGCACCGGGGCTGTGATGGGGAAGCTCACACCTATCACGGCCACCTCTTGCACATCACACTGGCTCCCAGGGCCTTGGTTTGAGAAATGCAGCTATTGTAGGGCTTCCCCGGTGGCGCAGTGGTTGAGAATCCGCCTGCCGATGCAGGAGACACAGGATCGAGCCCTGGTCCGGGAAGATCCCACATGCCGCGGAGCAACTAAGCCCGTGCGCCACAACTACTGAGCCCGCGTGCCACAACTACTGAGCCCGCGTGCCTGGAGCCCGTGCTCTACAACAAGAGAAGCCACCGCAGTGAGAAGCCCGCGCACCTCAACAAAGAGTAGCCCCTGCTCGCGGCAACTAGAGAAAACCCGCGTGCAACAACAAAGACCCAACGCAGCCAAAAATAAATAAAATAAAATTTATTAAAAAAAAGAAAAGAAAAGAAATGGAGCTATTGAGTCCCAGTGGAGGTTGGTGCAGGATGGAGTGGGTGCTCCAGTGTGGGTACTCCTCCCCCTGCCCTGTCCTGTGATCCCCAGAAAGCTGTCCCCTCCCTCCCCTTCAGGTCTTGCCCTGTGGCCCCTGCAGGCGTTTCCCAAGCCCAGTCTGCTCGTTCAAGGCTCTGTCCCCACCCGAGGTCCCCAGGTCAGAGCCCTAGACACTGCCTCCCCCTTCCCTCCTCCCAGGACCTGTTCAGCTCTCTAAACAGGTCCCTTCCGGAGCCCTTTCCTCCTCTCCATGAGCCTGCAGCCCAGGGCCGGACCGAGGCCTGGCCTCCCTGGGGCCTCCCTGCCTCTGCCCCATGGCAGCTGGCCTCAGCCCTCCTGAGAGCCTCATCTTGTCCAGCGGCCTGGTGGTCTCAGGCAGGGCTGGCTGTGTACTTTACAGGGTCCAGTGCAAAATGAGAAACGTTTAACAATTGGGACAAACCCTTTCTTCCATGTTCTCTTTCCAGCTGTCACAGTGTCTTTATGAGCTACTAATGTCATACTCCCTGTGCACAGGGACACAAGCAGGGTGGACGCAGACCTCCCAGGCTCCCAGGGCCTCAGGACTCAGCGCACAGCCACCCAAACTTGACCCTCCCCAGGCCCAGGTGCCCCCCCACCCCGGGTGGAAGGCGGCAGCGGCCCTGGAGGTGCTGGCAGAGCCACGGGAGGTGGGCTGGCAGAGCCACGGGAACCCGGGCTCCGAGCCCCACACCAGCTCATTGCTCCATCCGGCTCTGCTCACAGATCTCGAGTTCAGAGATAAAATTATTAGGTCTTTCGGGCTTCCCTGGTGGCGTGGTGGTTGAGAGTCCGCCTGCCGATGCAGGGGACAGGGGTTCGTGCCCCGGTCCGGGAGGATCCCACATGCCGCGGAGCGGCTGGGCCCGTGAGCCATGGCCGCTGAGCCTGCGCGTCCGGAGCCTGTGCTCCGCAACGGGAGAGGCCACAACAGTGAGAGGCCCGCGTACCGCAAAAAAAAAAAAAAATTAGGTCCTTCAAGTTAGTGACCGCAGAGCATTAAACCCCAAGCACAGGCCCTGGGCTACCGTAGTGGTCAAGGCCCCAACCAGGCTTCAGACGTCTCTGCTGTGTCCTGAACTGACCATCTCACCTTTCCTGCTCCCTCCTCCAGAGCGCCTCCCTCCACCCCACATGCATAAAGGACATTCGGGTCCCTCCTGGGTGCCTGCACTCAGACACACCTCCTCCAGGGACCTCTGCCCCTGTCTCTGGGCTCCTACCAGCCGGCCTGGGGTCGAGACTGGCCCTTTATGGAGCCCCCGTGCCTGACCTTCCGCCTCTCGGAGGCTGGTCTGTACCCACCTGGAGCACAGGGCCTGCCCCCAACAGGTCCTCGCCAGGTGGGACAGGACCGGCCAGCCTCCCCCGGGGCAGTCATCCCCCAGGGGTGATGCAGCTCTCAGAAGAGGCTCACTCCTCACGTCACGACCGAACTTTTCTCTCTCCTCCTTCTGCCCTAAAGCTCTACGTATCGTCGGACCTGGGGAAGAAGTGGACCCTTCTGCAGGAGCGAGTGACCAAAGACCATGTGTTCTGGTGAGCACACCCCCGCCAGGACCCGGGGAGCCCCGGCGAGGCCAAGCCAGCACCCTCGGTCCCCAGCTCAGGTCCCCACCTTCTCCTCTCTGCCCCAGCCCTGCCCTCCTCATCCCAGCGGGGCCTCCGGGGCGTCCTCTCTGCTCTGCTGGGACAGCGTAGGAAAGGGTTGAGAGCTGGGGCTTGGTGTCGCTCAGGCCACGCGCACACCCACGAACCAGCTGTGCAGTTTCGCACACGTGAATCTCCCTCTCTGGGCCTCCGATTCCCCCATAGTAGGGAGAGGCGCTAATGCACATAGAGCTGGCCCAGTGCCTGACACACAGCAGGCCCACTGTCCCCCTCACCACGGAACCCCCCCCCCCCTGCCCCTGCCTCTCCTGTCCTGGTCCCGACTCAGCCCCCCGCTGACGGCCCGGCGGTGCAGCCTTCCCTGCCCCATGGCTTGCTCGGCCTCTGCCGGTCTTGGACCCTCACTCCTGCCCCAGCCGGTGCCCGGGCCCCCCCCCGCGTTGGTGTCATCTCTTGGGAGCCACTCAACAATCGATTTGCATGGAGCTCTAGTCTCACTGCCCCAGCGAGAGGCTCCGGTGCTCAGGAAACGCCTGTTGGATAAGCAAGTGAGGCCCGCGAGGATGAGACATGGACGAGGTCCAGGGCTTCTGCAGAGGGAGCAGAAGCCAAAGGCGGGGCTCAGGGCCCACGCTGGCGCCCCTGACCCGGCTGCCACCCACCCCCCGCCTAAACTACCTCTGGAGATGCATGCAGTGACACACGTGCTCTTTCCACCAAATTGTGTTTTCCTGAGTGTGAAAATGACACACACTCACGTCCTCTCCTTTCTTATGTCATTTGGGCTGCACACGTACGGCCAGGCCTCCCAGCCAGGCGCAGCCCTGCGTCGCCAGGACAAACACCGTGGGAAGAGCTTCCCGTCCCGCCCTGTTCCGTCTGCGTCTTCATGCTAATCAGGGCCAGGAACTAGTTTGCGGACTTAGGGCCACAGGCTGAAGGGAAGCTTTGGTCTCGCCTCTGGAACAACGGCCTGGGGGTGTGCCTTCCGCCGCGGGGTGGGGGGCGGTGAGGGCTCCCTCCACGTGGCCGCCCTCGAGAGGTCCCGGGTCCTTCCTCGGAAACTGGAGCGCGGCATCAATCACAGGCCCTGTCATTCTTGTCAACTGTTAGCCCGCAGGGGCTCAAGGAGGTGGGGAGCGGGGCCAGGAGGTGGGGTTTCTGAGCAGGGCGGCCTGGAAGGTTGACAGATCAGGATTCGGGGGACTGGCGGGGAACGGTTCTGCCTGTGTGTCCAGTCCCAGGGAGACCCCTGGGGCCACAGAGAGAAACAGCCCGCAGACACTGAAACCTAAGTTGGTGCTCATTCAGACACGTTGTTATCACGGGCAAATCAAATTATGTCTTCCCTCAGGTTTCTCAAATTGCTCCAAGTCGTTATGCGAGAGGGATAATCATGCCAGACACTTGTCTGCTCGGGGCCCGGGAGTCTCCCTGGGAACGTGGTGACAACACAGGGATGGCGCCTCTTGTAAACAGTGAATAATGCTGTTTTGACAGCACTTCCAAGGCGCTCTCTGTTCTTGAACTGACAGCAGGAATTGCCGAAGCCCCGTGTTGTGTCTGAGACTCAGACCCTTAATGTTTTGAGAAGCTTAAACAAGTGAGCTCCTTAGACTGGCCTCATGGGGCCGTGGCCGGGGGTTGGGAGACCTACTATGTTCTGGGCCCACGAATGCCCTGACGCGTCGCCTCCCTGCTAGTCTCTCAACGGCACTGGGACAAAATTATAAGGACCGCCCAGCAGCATCCACGTTGTGAACACTGACTGTGCACCGGGCACCAGACCTCGGGTCCCAGTGCATCCTCTTATGAGATCCACACAGCGGCACCCAACTGTCTTCCCCTTAGGTTACAGAGGGGGAAACGGCGGCCCAGAGGGGCCAGGGCACTTGTCCTAGGTCATGGGCCATGGCTGCCTCTGTCCGTAGCCAGTGACCTTGCCCTTGGCCCCTCTGCCGGGCAGTCTGGCCGCCTGCACTTCCCCAGGCGTTTCCAATTCTTCCTCCCGCCTCGAAACCAACCTCACCCGTAAAGCCTGAGCTTTCCACTTCCATGAGCTCCAGTGCCTGCCCAGGTGTGAGGCAAGTGGCAGTACTTCTGTCCTGAAGGGAGGTGAGGGGAAGACAGAGTTCATCCCACAGCAGCCCTGGTGGCGGTGTCTTAGAGGGTTTACCAGAGCTGTTTGCATCAGAGCTTCCCTTAGCATCCGAAGGAGTAGCAGTCAACTCCCCGTGCTTTGTTGAGCCTGCGTGGCCACAGGTCTTCTCATGTGACTGCTGTTTCTAAACAATAGACCAAGGGCCTTCCCCAAATACTATCTTTGGGGACCTTGACAAACAAGAAGGCCCAGGGCTCAATGCTTGTCATTTCCCACGGGGAGCCAGGCTTCATCTGAGGTGTGTAAATACAGAGTTTCACGTGGTCTTCAAAACCCGTGACCAAGGGTTCTGGGGCAGGGACCTCAGGCCCACTGTGTTCCCTGCCTCGTGCAGGGCCTGGTGTGGGCGTGCTGGGAAGTGGCAGGGGAGAGGCTCCGATGGAGAGAGAGACAGAGGGGATGAGAGAGTGACTGCGTGGATGAGTGACAGGCCGAGTGTCATGACCCCATTTACAGATGACGGACGGTCAAACTAGAATTCCATCTGCCCAGCTGAGGACCGGTCAGTGCTTCTGGTAAAGGGAACAATGTCTCTCTTTATTCAGAAAAGAGAGGAAAATGTCAGGCAGGAGACCTCCTTCCAAGGAGCTTACAAATGGTTTATCCACAAAACCTAAATCAACACTTCACCTTGCGATGGAGAGTCTATGGAAAGTCAGAGTGATCGACGCCGGCACCCACGTTTGAAACATCACAGACTGCACATCCCGCCACGGGGGGCATTGTGGGTTTCCCCTGTCCACCTGGGACCACCTGGCCCCTGGAGGAGGTGAAGCAAACAGGCACCCTGGTGCCAAGCCCGTTAGGAATCGGGCTGAGAGCTGAGAGAGGCCAGCTCCGGGGGCTGTCAGTGGTGGGGACTGAGCAGTCAGTGGCAGGGACATGTCATTGGCCTGTCCTGGGTGCTGAGTGGCCGTGGGAAGTGACCTCTGCATCAGACTCTCAGTTTGTCTTGGGCAAAGTCAATGTGCTGCCTCAGGTTACTGTCCATGACAGGGTCGGCTTGGTGGATGGAGTTTAATAGTCAGACCGGCCGGAATGTACATTATAACAAATGTAATGAGCTCCCCACACCCATGACGCCCCGGGTGTTCTTGCTCCGGAGATGGCTGAAGTAGCTAGAAGGTTGTAGAGGGAGCTGACATACAGAACATGGCAGGAGATGACAGTCCGGTTGATACCCGGAACCGGTAAAATCTGGGAAACCCTGGACCACATCACACCATCAGTTGAGAAACCTGCACTCCACCTCCTGGGCTCCAGGCCCTGTGCTGGGCTGGCGGAGGTCAGCGCCGCCCCCAGCTCCCCTGGAGGATGCAGCCCAGTCCCCGCCCCCCCAGGGTGTGTCTTCGTCCCCTTCTTCTCGGGCCTTGTTGAATGCTCCGTCGTGGGCAGCCACCGTCCCCCTGTGCTCCATGCACTGCCTGAACCCCTGGAGCAGTGTGGTCAAGGGAGGGGCCAGCGGCTGAGAGCAGAGCCTTCCCAAGGATGTACTGTGAAGGGGGCACGAAGGGGAGCAGGGACAAGGGAGAAGGACCCCGGTGTGAATCCAGGTCTGCGCCCTCGGGGGAGTTGTTCTGATCACTAACACACATGCGCACGCGCACACACACACACACCTACGCGCACGGATGTGAAAGTCTTCTCTAAACTACTCTAAATGGAAGAATGCCCAGCAAACCCTGGGCCCTGCAAGGCAGAGGCTGGGGCTCCATCGGCCTCCCAGGAGCAGGTGGGCTCTTGGGGAGGACTGTGTTCTCTGAGCCCCAGATCCTGGAGGCCACATGGCTGCCTGGGGCTCGGGGACCACACAGGCCCCGCGAGAAGGGCTGTGGGGCTCCGTTCCCGACACCAGCCTCAGCCGTTCTTTTCCAGGGCTGTCTCTGGAGTGGATGCTGACCCAGACCTGGTCCACGTGGAGGCCCAAGAGCTCGGAGGAGGTAAGCCGGGAGGGTACAGGAGCCAGGCGCCCCCACGTCTGCTCGCCCCGTGGCCGGCTCAGCTGCCCCCGTCCTTCGTGGCTGGCCCTGCACGGCTGACCTTGCTGTGTTACGATGTGGCATAATTTTAAATGTGCTTGTTTTCCAAGCGGGGATAAACTGAAGTCAAGGAGCTCCACTCCAGTGGCAAAGTCTATTGAGAGGACGAATTGCTCTGGCCCCTGAGCATTGAGTGTTTCCCCATCTCTCAGCGCCCACCCTGCCCCCCACCAAGCTTGCTGAATGCTGAGGTGGGGCAGGGCCTCCGATGGCTCCCCCCACTCCAGTGGGGCAAGGAGCTCCGTGGCCGATGAGCCCAGGGGCCATGCATGCTGTGAGAAAGGTCCTCTGTGCTCCTGAAGGAGTGGCACTGGCAGCAGAACCATGGAATGTTCTAGAACATCAGAGCCGAGAGGACCTGTAGATTGTGCCTTCATTCAACAAACACTGACTGAGTCCCCTGTGGACCAGGCCCAGGGCTGACCCTGCTGGGGACGCAGCAGGGTCCCCAGCAGGGTCGAGAAAAAGATGCAGCCCTACCCCTTGCCTGCTGGGACGTCCTGGTGGTTTCTCTCGGAGTGGAGACCCGGGCAGGGTCACACTTAACCGACAGTGGGAGCTGACAAGTGCAAACAGCTGTCCCCTGGCTGGGCCATACTATGTGGAGCGTAGGTTCAGTGGTGCCGGGCACCGGGGTCCTGGCTGGTGACAGAGGCGTTAGCGTCAGCTCCCTGCCCACCACGTGCCAGCCACATGAGCCTGGAAGTGACCCTGCACCTCGGCCTCCTTGTCTGTGAAATGGCCCCATACGTGGTGCTCAGCCTGGGGACATCGTGTGTCAACGTGTGGTGGGTCCCTTTACCACGTCCAAAGCCCTCGACCCTTCCCCGGACCAGCCCCCATCCTGCGGGGATGTCACTGTCGCTTCAGCTTCACTGACCAGGAGAGAAAGCTCACAGAGGCTCCAGGCTTTGCCCAAAATCACAGGGTCACGGGCCGGTACAGACCACAGCCCCACCATCCTCCACACACAAATCCCAAAGCATCCCGGCCACGCTCACGGCGACCTGATCCCCAGCAGGGCTCAACACAGCAGAGGCGGGTGATGTCTCGTGATCTCCCACCTCCAGCGAGGAGGAACGCCAGGCCTCCATCCTCAACAAGGGGCGCCGTTTCCACCCAGCGATGATTCCGCGCAGCCCACCTTCCCCGGGGGAGGAGGGACCCTGAGCCTAGCAGCTGTGACGTGCACGTGAAGGGCCCCCAGGACGGAGCAGCGTCCCTCCCCCGTCTCCCCTGCCTCCAGCCACCCCAGCCCGGGAGCCCTGTTAGAACCCAGTCCAGCCAAGCTTGGTGGCACAGCATCCGGGCCTTTAGGACCCACCCCACTCACCGGCCCCACCTGCCCTCCGGCCAGCCTGAGCTACGGGCCAATTCCCAAGGTCACCTTACACCTGTCCTTGTCCCTGCGGAAAGGCTGCTCCCCATCTGTCCACCTTGAACGTCTTTCTTGGGCTGCCCACCACCTCCTCTGGGCTCCACAGCACCCGGACTGCCCTGTCACAGCTCTGCACACTTCCCCGGGCCTGGAGCTCCTTGGGGACAGGGCGGGGCCTGATCGATTCACCTCTGTGTCCTCAGTAGAGCCACCAAATGAATAAGCACATGGCCAGGTGCCAGTCGCCCTGATGCTGGGCCCCTGCGCTATCGTGGCAGGACCCTGCGGCCACAATCCGTGCCGTGGACACGAGGACGCTCACTGCCTGTCACACCACGTTGTCACTGTCGGGCCGTCTGCCTCTCCCCAGAGCTGGAGCTGGTGCCAGTTCATGAGAGCCAAGCGTCCACCTCCCTTCTCAGCCCCGTGGTCAGAAACTTCATCTCGGCAGCTTGAGAACGCCCCCCACACCGGGGTGGGGCGGTGGTTTACACCAGAGAAATTGGCAAGCGATGTGAATTGGCATTTCTCCCACTGCACAAACCTTCAGCCCCGTGAAAGGGGGTCTTTGTTTGTCTCGTTGGCAGTAGAGCTGGAACAGGGAGGGATGAGTGAACAAATGAATGAATGAATGCATGCATGCATGAATGAGTGGGCAAGTGAGTAAATGAATGAATGAACGGGTGAGTGAGCAGATGGTCCACTTTGAGTCTGGCCTGGGCTCAACTCCACGGCGTGCCCAGCCAGGCCAGCCTACGACAGGAAATTCAGTGTTGACCACAGGGACTGACCAGGCCATTCAGAGGGGAGATGGAAGTGGTGCAGGAGGGGCCATGGCACAGCCGTGGCTGACTGCGGGCCTACTGTGCGCACGGTCTCCTAGACGCTCACCTGCTCTTTTGACGTGGGCATTAATACCCACGTTACCGTGGAGGAGCTGAGACCCAGGGGACCCTGCCGGTGAGTTAGGGCAGGTCCTCCGGCCCCCAGCCCCGCCCCCTGGCACTCTCCATGCTGCCCGGCCACCCAAGGCTGTGGACAGGACGTGCCCCGAAAGCGCTGACGTCTCTGAGCGCCCTGGCTGGGCTTCATTTGGTCCCCGTGGTTAAATGCCACTCCTGCCCAGAAGCGGTAGAGACGAGCTCCCCCGGGGCACAGCTCCAGGCCTCTGCGCAGGTCTGCTGGGGCCCCCAACCCGGGAAACAGAGGGCTTGGCGTAAGAGCAGCGGCTGCCTGGCGAAACAGGGGTTCAACTTGCTTAATCGTAGATACTTCTAAAGGGGTGAAAGTGTTTGTCTAAAGTTAGGGGGGAAAGAACCCCTGAGTCCTACCCACACCCACCCGTTTAAGTTGGAGAGGGAGGGTAGGAGGTGTCCCGAGTCGTGATGGGTGCCATGGATGCCTGCCACGGCCCTGCACTGTCCCTTCCCTGGGTGACCACATGCACCCAGCTTGCCCAGGGCAGGCTGGTGGGTGGGAGATGTGTGTGTGTGTGGGGTCTCCTGCCCACCATCTCTCCGGATTGCTCCGAGGTCCCTCTCCCAGACAGAGGATACAGGTGGCCACGGATGTGCAGGTGCTGTGCCTAACCCTAACCCTAACCCTAAGCCGGGGCAGAGGGCGCGTGGGACAGAATGTTGATCAAGTCCTGCGCTCACACGGCAGTGCTCCCCTGCACGGCTTTAGCCTGGGGTCAGCAAACGCTTCCCGTCAAGGCCAGCCAGTAAACGGTTTAGCCTGGCTGGCCGTGTGGTCTCTACTGCCAGTGACTGCCGTTGTATGGTGGAGGCGCCGTGGGTGACGCGTAGACCGGCAGGCACTGCTGTGCTCCAGTGAAACTTCCTCCAGGAAGAGCTGGAGGCAGTCCGGGTGGCCCTGAGGTAGACAAGTCTCCTAACCTTGCTCAGCCACAATTTCCACATCTGGAAGATGGGACCATCGTTGCATGGTCCTGAGTATTAAAAGAACTCCTCGCAGTAGAGCGCCTGGCACAGAGCTGGCCCCGCTCAGCAGCAGGTGCGATCACAGGGCACACCGTTTAACATTCAGACCCACAAACAAAACCGGCGGCAGTGGTATCGGAACGCAGACCGAGCCAAAAAGGTTCAGCACTTTGTCACGTCTGAGGCTGTGTCTGACTCCTTCAGCTGGAGTCTGAGTCTTTGAGATTTCATGCAGCGCGTGGCTGGCTCTTATCTCCTGCAGGTTATCGGTACGTCACCTGCCAGGTCCACAATTGCTCCGAGAAGACGCTGACAGTGCCGTTCGCGGGCCCCATTGACCACAGTTCTCTGACCGTGCAGGACAATTACATCTTCGTTAAGGTGAGCTTCCTGCTGGGGCTCTTGGAAATCGGCAATAGGCGATGTGGAGTATAAGCCACTTGGGGGAAAATGGAATCATTCAAACAGGAAGCAATAAAATGGCTGTTACTTTCAAGTGCTACTTAATTCAGTTTCCCCTGCCCCTGTGATGGTGGTGGAAGGCACCCCCCAAACCCCATAAGGCCAAAACACAGGGATGCCACCTGCTCCTCCCTTCTGCCCACTAAGAACTTCCCACAGCCCAGGGCCTCCAAGCCCAAACCCGTTTTGTTCCATCTGGTTCCGGCGACTTTGAAATGATATTCAAAGCTGTTGTCTCTGGTCATTTCTCTTGGCCACCAGGCATCAGCTATCCACAGCCCAGGGACCAAGCCCTGCTGCCTGTACACACAGGTACTCAGATCACAGTTGGGACCACCATGTGGTCTGACGGTTCAGACACTCCGGGAAGCAGCTGGTCATACCACTTCTTGATTACTTCCACCAACGAGGAGCTCACTCCTTCTAAAACAGCCTACCCCTCTCCTGGATAGCTCAAATCTTTGGAAATGTCATTCCAGTACTGAGACGAAGTGTTTCCTCTACTCTCATCCAGTGACCCCTGCTCTGCCCTCTAGGACCCCATGAGACAAATCCAAAGGCTCCTATGAAGATGGCCCCTTAGGGGCAGCTGCTGGTGTTCTCTCCCCTGAAGGCTCCCCCGTCTCAGGGACGTTTCATCACCCCAGGTGCCCTTCTCCACATGCAGAGTGTACCAGGGCCTCCTGAGGATTTGGGGGCTGGAACTGGCAGGGTGTGTCACGGCCCCCATTAGAGCAGGCCAGGCAAGAGGCTTCTGCCACCGCCGGCCCTGATTCCCAGCCCCGCCCCCGACTCCCAGCCCCCCCCCATTCTCCTTCACCCTCTGCTGATGACCAGCCCCACAGCTTCCCATCCCTTCTGTGTGTTTGCACCCACCGTTCCCTGGGCGTGGACCACTTGTGCCCCCTTCTCCACCTCCTCCCCCAACACTGTCGTGCACCACCTCCTCCAGGAAGCCTTCCCTGACTTCCACTCTACTTCAGGCCCACAGGTTGCCTCTTCGTAGCGCCCCCAGCTCTGTGCATTCCTCCGTCGCAGCCAGGCCACACTGTCGTCCTTTACTGTTTACCGTAGACCCTGCAGTCCGGTGCGGGTGGGGGCTCCGGGTCTGTTCTCAGCACCGCTGTCTTCCCAGCACCTCCCATTGTGTTTCTGCAAATATCTACCAAGGGTTGGAGCAATGACAGCAATTGGCTTCTTTGACAACCGTATCTCACGTTGAGTGTTTTCTAAATGTTGTGATTGTCTGGTCTGCCAGCGCCCCAAGCCTGAGACCCCGGGGGCACAGCTGTGGCTGGACAGGTTGGGCTGATCCTTGTGCAGCAGTAGGCACCATGCACCACGGGGCCCCAGGATGGGGTGCGGGGCTCAGTTAGAGGTGCTGGGAAGGCCCGGCTGAGGGTGAGCCATGAGAGGGGGCTTGGGGAGGATGGAAGATGCCGGATCGGGTGCTGTCGGGAAGCGGGGCCACGCTGTAACTGGGCTGCTCAGTGACCTGGTCTGGAAGGAGGGGGCTCAGGAGGCTGAGCCGTGATGGTGAAGGAGCCGCCCCCGCGCACTCAGCCTGGACGGCGCACGGTCATCGCTGGCTGGTCTGTGTTCAGATGTGATAACGGCTGGCTCTCAGCTTTGTTGCAGAGGCCTGGTCTGCCGCTGGTGACACTGTCTGTGTCCGACGGGGGAAGGCGCAGCCCGCAGTGCATGCCAGGCTGGGGCCAGAGGTCAGGGGCCACTGTGCCCTGTCCAGCTCCTGGCCCACTCCCTCTCCCATCACCCGTTTGCCCCCTTGTTCCTCGTCTTCCCTTCTCACCCCCTCCTCCTTGCCGCTGCCCCAAAGAAGCACATGCTGCTCTTTTCCTGGGTCTTCTATTATATCCCATGAGAGACAAGTTACTCCATCTCTGGGTCTCACTTTTCTCATCTTTAAAATGGAAATGATCACAGGTCGTGGAGTTGTTGGTTTTGATACCGATGAGCTGTTTGGGACAGTGCTGGCCACATGACTGTCTCCGGAGTGTTGCCTCTTGTTTTGTTTCTCTTGCCTCGTGGTCTGGTGGTCATCTTTTGTGGCTTGAGCTTACCTTTGGCCTGTCTCTTCCTCCACTCAGTGGCTCACCAAGTACTCTCCCTAAGAGGAGTTCTGGGGAACAGAATTTTCTTCACCTTGTCTGTAACTCAGACATAGGGAAGCCAGGTGCTGAGAGAGCATGGGGAAGGAGATTAGTTCTAACTGAGGGAGGTGGAGGAAGACTTCCCAGAGGTGGGGCATTTGGTGTGGGGCTCTGAAGGATGAATAGGAGTCTGCCCATTTCAGGCAGAGCATGTATAAGCAAAGTAAAAGGGCGTTTTCACCAGGATTTGGCTCAACAAGAAACCTAGTCCCGGGCTTCCCTGGTGGCGCAGTGGTTGAGAGTCCACCTGCCGATGCAGGGGACACGGGTTTGTGCCCCAGTCTGGGAAGATCCCACATGCCGCAGAGTGGCTGGGCCCATGAGCCATGGCCACTGAGCCTGTGTGTCTGGAGCCTGTGCTCTGCAATGGGAAAAGACAAAGAAGCCCGAGCACCGCGAATAAAAAAAAAAAAAAAAAAAAAAAAAAGAAAAGAAACCTAGTCCCTTAAAAACTTGTTTTTCCCCTCCTGTTAGGCAACCTCAACAAACCAGACCAAATACTACATCTCTTATCGTCGCAATGAATTTGTCCCGATGAAGCTGCCGAAGTATGCGTTGCCAAAGGTATGAGTGGGTTCCCCATTCCACCAGGCCCTGAGCCGGTGCTGAGCCTGCCCTGACTCGTGGGCCTGCAGGGCTTTTGCACCTGTGCTTGGTGGTGGCCAGGTCAGGATGGTTAAGAGCAAGCTACTGCCCCCTCCCCCTCCAGCTACTGCCCCTCCCCCTGCACTCCATCCTCACACGTGCCCAGCTTCATTCTGTCTTAGTGCCTCTGCAATGTTCTTCCTTCTGCCTGGTCTTTCTTTTCCCCAGACTCCTGCACATGTGATGTTTCAGACAAATGTCTCTTCCCACTGACCCTCCAGGCTGGTCCAGGCCTCGGTTTCCTGCTGACACCCCACCCTGCTCCTTCCTGACACTCAGGGTGCTGGGAACCCCCCGTGTCCGTCCTGCTTTCAACTAGAGTTTCCAGGGCTGGGGGACCGTTTCTGTTTTATTCACCTCTGCATTCCAGCTGCCTAGCATAGTGCCTGGTAGATAGTAGGTGTTCAATTAATGCTACTTCCTCCCCCTTGCCTGGCCGGCAAAGAAGGGGGACGTGGAGGCTGTCCAGACCCTGCCCCTGCCCTGCCTCAGGGTGAACTCCACAGCCCCCTCCCTACCGATATTTTATTCCAACTTTACAAAGGAGGTGATTGATGGTCAGAAAGGCTGAATATCCCGTCTGAGGTCACACAGCTTGTAAGAAACCAAAGCAGGTTTCAAACCGAGGTCCGAGGTCCAGGCGAGTCTGAGACCAGCCTTCTGCCACATCTCCCTCCAGAGGACGGTCTCCATCCCATGTACATAATTCAGAATCGCAGACTGAAGCAGCCCTTCTCCCCCACATACTTATCGAGCATGAAATGTAAGCTAGGAACAGATGCTATAGCTGTGAGTCAGACACCCCGGTTTCCTGCCCTGGCTGGGTTTTCAGAGGAAACAGGCAGAAAGTCAAGCAGACCGACAAATGTGTAAAATAATTGCAAGCTGTGATTTGTACTGAGAAGGAAATGAGAGGCCGGGCAGGCAGTGATGGGGGGTGGGGGAAGCTTCCCTAAAGGGCATGTCTCATCTGAAGCCCAGCGGTTGGGGGAAAGCTGTTCAGGTGTAGCACAGTGCAGGTGCAAAGGCCCTGGGGCAGGAGAGACCTGGCTGGAGGGTGGAGAGGAGGTGAATGTGCTGGCCCCTGCAGGCCCGGGGGCTGTGGCTTGCTGGAAAGGACTTGGATTCAGGAGCTGCTGCTCGGGACATCACAGACCCCTCCTGAGCCAGAAATGGGAAAAGTTCCTGAGACTTTTAAAACCTTTTAAAAGCATCTCTTTAGAAAGAGAAAAGGAAGAGGGGGAAAAAATGGAAAGGAAGGGAAAGAAAGAAAAGAAGGAATCTTAATAAAGTCCCTCCAGTGTTGGCCGAGTAAATAAATGAAAAGCTAATGGTTTCATTTATGGCAAGTGCCTTTGGCATCTCTGGAGGGTGGGGGGCCTTTCAGCTTCTGAGAGGCTCTTCCTCTGCCACTGGGGGCTGCAGCATTAGCTGCATCCTTTGTCCTAGTGTTGGGGTGGGTTGAGTGGACCCCTGGGTCTCTCCCTGCTCCCCTCTGGTACTGGGACCTGGGCAGATGCTGCCCCTTTCCTGGGACGGGGGAGGCTGGACCAGCGGCCAGGCCATTTCTGAGGGTCTTCTGAGGAGACTACAGCCACAAGTCATGACCTCTGTGACCTTGAGCCCTGGCTGCACCTCCCTGGTCGGTGGCTGAGACGGCAGTGAGTGCTTCTTGGTCTTTGGCGGGGGGGAGGTTTGCAGGAAGCACCACTGTGAGTCCCGCTGCAGGCCCTTGACAGCACGTGCTACCTGCTAGCTTCCCGTTTCTGCAGAAATCAGGGGTCATTGAAAAGAGTCGTGAGGCTGTGATGTTAGTACTGCCCCCGCATCATAAGTGATGACAGAAACAGACATGCCCCTCCTGTCATCCAGTTTCAAGGGATGACCAGGAACCCACTTATATCGGTGGCATTTGCATTGGCACTACGTGTCCTCGCTCGGGGGTCCTGCCCAGGACCCAGTGACAGGCAGTGGAGGACCATGCACAAGTCAGGCTGCTCTCAGGGATCACCCACCCCCACCCCGAGCCCTGCAGGGTCCTCAAGACCACATTTGGTCTTTGCTGAGAACCTTGCCCATCCAGGGACCTGGCTGCTTCCTCTCCACCAAATTCAGGAGAGCAGCCAGACGCCAGTGTTCCCACCAACAAGGAGAGCTAGCTAATTGAATTCCCTAATCAGATTTTGTTGTTATAAGGTGAATTTGTAACTCCTGCCTGTTTCCTCCCCCCAAACCACCCCCATCTTTTTTTTTTTCTTTAATTGCCCAAGTAACATCATGGAAACA